AGTGTGGAGACAGCGCTGGGCACTGCGGGGGGAGATGCATTAGCGGGAAGCTGCCGGAGAGCCCCCCACGTGGCTGCCCGAAGGAGGCAGGGACATGGGGCCGTGGAAGCAGCTCCTCTTGGGGGACCCAAAGCTGGAAGGAGCCAGGGATGGGGGGAGTTGCAAGGGGAAGGGGAATCAATTGGGTGGGCAGATCACAGCCAACACAGGCAGCCAGGGGCAAGGGGGGAAGGCCGGCTGGGAAAGGCAGTGGGTGGTGGGTTATAAGACCCTAAGTCCTGCCACGACTGGGTCCACCTGGCCCAGTCTCCAGAGAGCAGAGGTGGGGAGGGACAGACACCGGGTCTTGGCAGGATTTTCCTGTTCCTCTCCCATGTGCAGCCTCCAGCATTGAGGATCCAGGTAGTTCTGCTACAGACTCCCTGCCCCTCATGCCCGTGCTCCAGAGCCACTGATGCCCCTTTCCTCCAAGGACATGTCCGGTCCCTTGGGGAATGGGGCTGAACTCCCAGCTCCCCCCGACGTCTGATGACAACGAGCCTCGCGCTCAAATTCCAGGCAGGGGGACAAGAACTGCCTGGGCTTGGTTTTAAACTGCAGACCTGCTGATTTCACTGCGACCCCTTGTCCGTGCCTGGTGAGAGAGAGGCCACAAGAAATCCCCGAGGACTTCCTCTCCCACACTGAGTAGGTCGTAAACCCTCATCCTAGCCCCTGGCTCTGTGCTGACCAGGCCCGCCCTCCTTAGTGTCTCCTCCTAAAGAATCATAGTCAATGGGGGTTGAAGGGAGCTCAGGAGGTCGCATCCAGTCCAGCCCCCTGCTCCAAGCAGGACCAGCCCCAACTGCATCATCCCAGCCAAGGCTTCGTCTACCCAGGTCTTCAAAACCTCCAAGGATGGAGACTGCACCACCTCTCTGGGAAACCCGTTCCAGTGCTTCGCCACCCTCCTAGTGAGAAAGTTTTTCCTAACATCCAACTTAAACCCCCCTTGCTGCAGCCTGAGCCCATTGCTCCTTGTCCTGTCATCTGCCCCCACTGAGAACAGTCCAGCTCCAGCCTCTTTGCAGCCCCCCTGCAGGGAGCTGGAGGCTGCTATTCAACCCCCCTCGGTCTTCTTTTCTCCAGACTAAGCCCGGTTCCCTCAGCCTTTCTCCACAACCATTTTTGTTGCCCTCCGCTGGACTCTCTCCATGTCCACATCCTTTCTGTAGGGGGGGGGGGCACAGCTGGACACAGGACTCCAGATGTGGCCTCCACCGTACAGAATAGAGGGGAAGAATCACTGCCCCGGATCTGCTGGCAGCGCTCCTCCCAATGCAGCCCAGGATGCCGGTAGCCTTCTTGGCAACAAGGGCACACTGCTGGCTCATATCCCTCTTATTGCCCAATGTCAACCCCCCCGGTCCCTTTTCTGCAGAGCTGCTGCCCAGCCCGTCACCCCCAGCCTGTCCTGGTGCAGGGGATTGCTCCGTCCTCAGTGCAGGCCTTTGCACTTGTCCTTGTTGAAATCTCCTGAGATTTTTGTTGGTTTGATCCTCCGGTGTGTTGAGGCCTCTCTGAAAAGCCCCTCTCTGGAAACCCCTCCAGGCTGCTAATCCCTTGTTGCCCCTCTCTAGACTCTCTCCAGCTCCTCTCTCCCCACGTGGCGGTGCAGGGACCAGAACGGGGCACAGCACTGGAGGGGTGGACGCGCCATGGATGTTATTCTTGCCAGGGAGCTCCTGGGGCTGGGGGGCACTGTGCAGGGGCGGGGGATGCTGGGGCTCTTACCGCTTCCCTGAGGCTCCAGGTTCCCTTTCCCATCCAGGTAGGAGACGTGCACTGCG